GTGAACCAAATTAACTATATACTGGACAAGCTGCTCTGCCGTGCCCTTCACATTGTGCTTCTGGTTACTGGGTTGTCTGTACCTTTTAATGCAGGAATCCAAGGCAGGGCCCTGTGGGAAAACTTGTAAAGTACTGTCCAGATCACTTCTTTAAGCTCTTCCCCACTTTTGTATATTCAGAATAGCTCTTCACTATCTGTGAACCAGATTTCCCTTCACCTGTTTGTAAGGCTCCATTGACTCTACATACACCTGTCGAAAGTGACTTTGAGGGAGGATTGCCTGCTGGCTCTGGTATGGGATTCCAGAAAACTGGATTTTCTCAATCTCTCTGTGCTTTGATTCCGCTTTTATAAAATGGGGGCAGTAAGTTTGGTCCTGTTTATTTAGATTACAAGCTGTCTGGAGCCTGGACTGTCTCTTAGTATATTATGAAACATTTAGGTGCTACTGTTATAGAAATAATAGACACGCAAATCATATAATATGCCATCTGAATGTCTATTATTGTTCAGTCAGATTTTTGCATTTATTTTGTTCAAACTATGGTCAAGTTGTCATTTTTTTCAATCATCTATGACTGATGAAAAGGAATGACCTTTTTCTAAGTGTAACAGTCCTTAAAATACACATGTGAGCTAATAAATGGGTGTTCTTTTATTAAATTAGTTATCACATCATAGGAGGCAGCTGTTTGTGTTTTTAGTTCACAAGACATTTTGAAATATTAAACTACTATTTTTGCATTCATGCTTTTTTGTATAGTACGTCTGGGATAGAGTGATTAACACTTACATGTGATTTAAAAAATCAGAACATCTGTCAACTGGACTGGCAAATTTATTATGTCAAAAATGGATTAATGAACTCAGCTATCTTCCAGGGAATACAATAGTAATTAAACATGTTTTTGCCTTTACTTCATAAACTTTGGAATAATGCTCAGGTTCAAAGGGCAGAACAAAAGCTGAAAATAGTAGATCCCATAAAACAGGGATGTAGCCAACATTTTCACAAGGCTATTTTGCTATATATTGGACTGGTGTAGCATGTACAATTTTAGCTTTTTAGTTCCTCTTGTTTTTCTATTCTCTTGGCACCTGGTACAGTAGCAGGCTAGCAGAAGTCTAGGCTATGGGTACATATTTCCTGATGTGTTTTGATCTGAGATCATACCACTTCTGCCTTATCTCATGTCATTTTATCCTGCTTGCATGATTTTTTACAATATTTTATTGTAATCTCTCCGGTATAGTGGTCCTTTTAGAGTTGGGGATACTGTATGAAGTTTTGTGGGACTGCAACCCAGCCATTCTGAACTAATTTTGGGAAAGCACTGACGTAGTTCTTGTGCTGTCCATAGACTTAGTAGTAGAATATTAGAGTCTCTGTCATAGTAAAGAATTTGTTGTCTTGTCAGATGGGGCTTCCAAATAGTGACTGCACGCTTTTCTTTTCTCACCCCTCCCCCTACTCCCCGCGCCCTATCATTCTGTTTGCACACAAGTACTTCTCTGTATACCCTTGGTTGGGATCTTTGAAGCTGAGACCTATCACGTCTGTGTAGTTGTATCCCTGGACCCATGCAGAGCCCCACTGAAGTCAATAAGATTCTGTACAAGTTCAAGGAACTGTCCAGGTGGACCTGATTTTAAGCCTGTGATGGGTTCTTGGTGTGTACAGAGCAATTACATATGCTGTATAGGAATGTTATTCTCAGCCCATCGGAAAGTGGCATCCTTGCTCTGTATATGGTACATTATTAATCTAAAATATGCAAATGATTATTGCTTAGGCTGTTTTGTGTCTATAATATCTAATTATTGTGGAGCTTGTAAACCTTTTAGTCTCTGAATATGTGACTCCAAGGTGGTTCTCATCAACAGAATGAGAAAGTCCACTTTGCAAGTGAGCCACCAACTTTCATAATTTGGTTGATTTATAGTGTGGCTCCATGTGGCGCTCCTTGCAGTAGTTGAATATTGAGCAAAGGCCTGCTCAAGAGAGCGCATCCAAAAGAAATGGCTCCTGCCTTCGGGTCATTGCTGCTGTGGGATCAACTGATGGTATACTCATAGACCGTGAACTTGAATAGGAAGCAGTAGACACATGTCTTCCGTTTTAACGGAAGATATAATCCTTGCCATATTTTCTGGTTGCTTCCCTCGTGCTACCTGTGTTACTTTCATTTTGTCTGGTCAGTTAACTAGTCCTTATCCAAGCTCTACTTGCTACCAAACACTGAGTAATAATATTCATCATATGAAGCAAAGCTATTTTTATTACATGTAGTAAATTGGAAGATCCTTTAGTTTGCTTTGTACTGTGTTTTTTCTATCAAACTCAAATAAAGTCTCGGTGATAATGTATGGGGTTGTGTTTTGAGGCGTGGCTCTTCAGTAATACATCAAAGGCTTATCTTATAACTGTGTTAAAACATGGAAATGGATGACTGACTATCAAACCCCAAAATAGTTTGGGCTGTTTTTATCTGTGGATAACATGCTCTTTGCAACTTCCTCATTTGAGATATTTACTACAACAAGACTTTAACTGTACAATTTCAGATAATGAAAGTATCAATATAAAGATGTTTTTAAAGTATTTAACTTTGGTTGATATAGTTTAATAAGATTTAAAAATTACATTACACCTGTAGGTGTGAACTTTGTGTGAATGCATAATATATAATTTACACATATGTACTATGCTATACACTTGTGCAAGTTGCATAAGCACGTATGTCTGTGTGGAAATCTCAGAATTAATCATACACAATAGATATTGTGCAAGTAATTTGAATGTGTGCAGATATACATGTACATCTTACATGCCTACTTTTGAAAATTTGGGCCATCCTTGATTTATTCCTTGAAAGAAACCTGAATATGAATTTCAGTTACCATGATATTTAAACTGAAAAAACAACAAATAGTCTGGTAACACTTTATAGGCTAAGAAAACATGTAGATGGTATTATGAGCTTTCATGGGCATAACCCACTTCTTCAGCAAAATACAGGACTATGTAGAGTATAGTATGTTGATCTTAATGGATTGAGATACATACATACATAGTCCTGTGTTTTGTTTCAGCTACACCAGACTAACACAGCTACATTTCTACCACTTCTTCAGATGAGTCATCTGAAGAAGTGGGCTATGCCCACAAAAGCTTGTGCTACCATCTGCATGTTTTGTTAGTCTATAAAGTGCTACCAGGCTGTTTGTTGTTTTTTCAGTTTACCTGTACAGACTAACTTGGCTACCCCCTGAAGCTTCTGAACATGATATTTAAAACAGCAATATCAGAATGTAATTTCCTTATAAGGATTGGTCAAGAATATATTTCTTTAAAGTACTTTGCATTTTTTTTACTCTTGCTCAGACTGTACCTTACTCAAGCAAAACCATAGTTGACTTCTCCTTGCAACTCCTTGAGACCATATTTTAGGATCTGGTTTTAAACTGAACTCTTATTAGCTTGTGCAGGAATAATCTGGCCCTGGTTTTGAAAGGGCTTGGCTTGTTAGGAAAATGGTTAGTGTTGTTATCAATATATATATATATTTGATATATAATACAGAGTTAAGTGCTGTTACAATGCTATACAAAATTCCATTAGCTGAAGGGGAAATTGCAATACATTTTTGGTAACTGAAACATAACAAGAGTGTGGGAATTTTTCTTACTATGGGCATAATCAAAACCCCATTGAAATTCAGGGACTCTCATTGAGGCTACATCTACACTATAGCTCAGATCAAGACTCTGAGATTGAACCACCGGCAGTTGATTTAGCAGGTCTGGTGGAGACCTGCCAAATTGATCACAGATTACTCTCCCATCTACCATGTTACTCTACCCAGGAGAAGAAGAGTCAAGAAAGTCAACGGGGGAGTTTTTGCCATCGACCCTTCTGCAGTGCAGAGCCTGTGGTATCTCAACCTATTCACATAGGTAGATTTGCATAGCTTACATCGGTTTTCTGACTTGGTGTAGATGTAGCCTGACTTGAATGAGCATTGGACCAGTCCCTATCTTACATGTCTACTTATGCAGTGTTAGGTAATCGAATGCCTACTGTTACTAAGCATTAACAGTAAAGAGGATACTACATTGCATGATTGCGAGTTGAACACTAATATAGCTATGCAAAATATGGCTAAATAATGCCACCATGAGCTATGGGATACAGAAAATGTGGTAGATGCTATTCTTCATTAAGCAAATACAAAATTTTTATTGTATTTATTTATTTTATTTAATACTGAGAGGTCTGAGAAAATATTTGAAGGAGGTAGATACATTTTAACTTTATAATCTGCATGTGATTTGATCATCTTTTCTTGTTAAATTTTAAACAAATTCTACACACGTAAAGTAGTACAACATAGGGTCCTGATTCTGAGAGGTGCCTCGCTTCCTTAACTCATGCATTATACTCTAAGACCCCAATTCACTTGGGGTAGTTAGTAACTCATTTCTGCAGCCATCCCTTTTTTAATAGGAAATGATGTATTTCAACAAAAACAAAACAGAAAAAACAGAGTTTCTTTTTTAAATGAAGGATGTCGTCGTTTAATGAGGCTTGAAGTGTTTACAGGTGTTTCCTCATGAGTTCAGATTTAGTGACCCTGGGGAGTTGAGATTCTCGGAAGACCGGAGAAAACATTGCTCAGGCTTGTATTTTAAAACTGTTAAGCACTGAAGGGCCTGATCCTACTCCCGGTGTAAACTGGTGCAGCTCTGTTGAAGTCAGTGGTGCCATGTTAATTTAGACCAGCTGGAATCTGTCCCTACATATGCTCCTCTCAACACAACAGAAGATCAAAAACCGTATTAAAAGATTCTCGTATGTTTCTGCTTTAGTATCTTATGGGATAATCTTATAGACCTCACTCAGGCAAAAATCCTATTGACTATAGGTTCCGGACCTTAGTGTTTGTTTAAAAAATGTTTAGGTGATGTAACGTGTCTTTTATGCATAATATCTTCCAGTGCACTCTAGTCTTGGAGAAACTGCATAATGTGGTGAAGAACAACACATAGCAAAGGAAAATATAAAGTATGTGTGGTTGGAGGATGTGATGACATCACGTTGCTCAGCGGGAACGTAGGGCTTTTAAAAAGCTGAAGGAAACATCCTGACAGCCAGTTATCACATCACTTGTAAAAGGAGTAAAACACAGTTAGCGATTTAAAAAGCCAAACTCTCCTCTTCAAAGAGAAAAGCCTCCGTTCTGCCACAGAATATGCACTGGCAAAAATGTAAGTGAGTTCTGATTGCCTTCGTTTTTCATAATTACAGTAGATATAAGAAGATACAGTAGCTACAGTAGATATAAGAATAATAGCTCTAAGTCACTATTAGAATGGCATGGCAGATTTTTACTTCCGAAGAAGTACCTAGTTTGAGAGAGACAGTTACTAAAATGTGTGATGCTAATATTCCAGCATGGATATTAACACAAGACAGCAACACTGTTTTGGCATTCATCACTTTGAATCAAATGGCAGAGTGGTTCATAAAAACAGTCACAAGGCTGCACGGTATCAAAGGTAACAGTTGTTACTTGCCAGTTTTCATTTTTTAAAGTAAAGGCTGATATAACTTTTTTTTTAATCTAACTTCATATGGACACAACTTTTACCAAAAATGATTTTGGGCAGGAAAAGGAGTGTTACAACTTCCTTTACCTCTCCGCTTATGAGTCATACATTAAGGGTCACAGCCTCGCCAAGTGTAAAACAACGTAACTCCATTGTAAATGGAGCTATTGGCATTCCAATGGGAGCCATGCTGATTTACACCAGTTGAGGATCTGGCCGTTAGTTACTAAACTTTTATTAAAGATAAACACAATTGTTGACTGTATGAGTTCACTTCTTACATAAGTATTGAAAGAGAGAGTGACAGATATAAATGATAAGGGAACAGAGCAGAGCTGAGGCAGTATGGGCTCTAAGTTGCTATATGTATAGACGTCGTTATACCCAGGCATTTTTTTTTAATAATTTTGTTCTATTTTGTCCCATCTTTCCTCAAGTAGTTCAGTCCTTTTTCTAACATACATAGAAATTTGTACTGTTTCTTTTAATTCTTTTATTTTCTGCAAGCATATTTCTGAAGATGATGTTTGTTTTTTTGCAACCATAGGAACATCCTCTATCTTTCACTAAACTATTCACTTAACCTATAATACAACATACCTGAACGGAAAAGGTTAATTTCTTAAATGTTTTCCAGTGAGTTGACTAACATGGAACAAAGTTGAATCTTCTTTTCCATTAGGTTAGAGATCAAAGAGTAAACAACGATGACTTTTGTTTGTATCTATCATTCTGAGATAATCAACAGTCAATCATGTTTTCTTTGTAACACATTCGAATATTTTCGTTTGTTTTATTTGACAATTGCATAGTCATTTTTTCTTTAGGTAAAAATATGGATTTTTAAAATGTATATTACGGACTGCAAAATCAAATAGCAAGAAGCTCCAGCTATATTTTTTTCATGCAGTTTGAGTTTGTATTGTAACACAATAAATAGTAGACTATGGTAGCTACTGCAGCAACATTTTTCTTCTCATTATCTTTTTCTCTTTTCAGAATCAATAGTGCATATTGCACAGAATGTGCAATCTAAAAAACTGCAGCAAGATCAGAGTCAAATGTAATTTAGTAGCTAGGAAATCTTAGATGTCCATTGCACAGACATAGGTCTATGATCAAAATTTGCTGTCTTTAGCAGAGTTGGAATGATATTCATACTGAATATTGCTGGGGTATGTTCTTCCCTTGTATATACACAAATGCTTTAAAGATTCATAGGAATTACAGGCCTGTGTTGAAAGTGGCCAGGCTGCTGTACTAGAGGTTGATTGTCCCACAATGTGAATACGTAGCTCCCATTTGACAACTTCAAAGCACTACAATGCTTGTGCAATGCCTTCCTATCTGCAGAGCACCCCCTCCAGTTCTCAATGCAAGAATCTGTGATAGCAATTCTTATTGGACATTTCAAAACATATTACAAGAAACAGCAATTGCCTTAACTGGCTTCCTCAGTGCGGAGGCTTTTTAAACCCGGCAAAGAGTTGGTAGTGCAGATGTTGTAGCTCTGTTTGACTTCTGCTCAAGAGGATTTGGGGGCCAGATTGAAGGGATGCCTCTTAGAACAAGGAAGGGGCAACAAAGAGATTTTTGTAAATGGCCGACATGTTTGAAATGATTATTTTTGGTGCTGAGGTTAGACCTCGGTATCAGTTTTAATTTTTATTGAAATCAATACTTTCTAAATATTAGCACCATTGCAACATTCTTAAACTTGCTTTTTCCCTAAGTCATTTTGATAACTAGTTAATTGCTTTAGCAATTAACTAGAATGATCTACTGGTTAGGGCACGAGATTGGCACTCAGGAGAGCAGGATATGTCACCTCAAGAAGGGATGCAGACAGGCCCACTGCTGGGATGGATGGAGGTGGAGGGCAAAGAGGGTAGTTGCCCCAGGCCCTAGTAATTTCAGAGGTAACTAGAGCTCTGAGCCCTTTCAATCACTGCTAGGACCCCAGGCAATGCACTATGGGTGACTGGGAGCTGGCTGTGGGGAGGTGGCACTGTCCGCATAGCACTGACGGCTGGTCGGTCCCAGCCCCAGCCCTTCCACACAAGGACCCGCCCTTTCCATGGGGCCCCGCCCCTTCCAGGCCCTACACACACCTTGCTCACACCTTGACCAGCAATTTGTCAGCTTCCTTGGATGCAGAGATAATTATTTCTAGACACCATGAATAACTGCCTCTTTTACTCGGCCGTTTAGCTACAGTGGCATTCTTTGGTTCGCTTATTATTGGAGCAACTTATCTTTAAACCCACAAGGGAAGAGGCAATTCTTGATTTATTCCTGAGTGGAGTACAAGTTCTGATCTAAGAGGTGAGCATAGCTACCCTGCTTGGCAATAGCAACCATAATGCAATAAGCTTTAACATCCTTGTAGGGGGGGAAAGGCCAAAGACACCCACCATGGGAGCATTTAATTTAAAAAAGGGGAACTACACAAAAATGAGGAAGCTGTGTTAATGGAAAACTAAAAGAAATAACAACAAGAATGAAATGCCTGCACACACCGTAACAGAGGCTCAAACTGTTTACCCCACTTTTTTTTTAAACAAGAGAACTAAAAATGTCGATGTGTCTAAACAGCCAAGTAAAAGAGGCAGTTAGAAGTAAGAAAAGAATGCAAGAATGACACAAGACACACAGCCTGAGTGGAGGGAAGTTGTTTGTTATTACTTTATATCCCAATCCACTCAGGAGGAGACTTAATCTACTCAGGAAGTCTTCCTGCTAGGCACAGTACAAACAAAAATGATTAACCTTGCCCCAGACAGCTTGCAATCTAAACCTTGGTCCTCCAAAGACTTGTGCATGTGCTAGGAGCAGTTTCTCTGAAGTCACTACACTCTGCATGGGGAAAAAAAATCTTTTCTGAATTGGGATTGCAGTGCATCAATGCTACAAAGACGTTTTCAGCATTGCATTTAGCAGTGTTGTCCTCAAGTCATCCTTGTCAAGTCCAAGTCAAGTCTCAAGTCACTACAGTTCAAGTCTCAAGTCGGGTCTCGAGTCCCTTAAGTCACTTTCGAGTCAAGTCCCAAGTCGAATCTCAAGTCTTAATTTAAAAAATGTCAAGTCACTTTTGTACAAGCCATCAATATCAGCATTTTCGGACAGTTTTTTCATCAAGTCGATTTAAGAAAATTAGCAAGTCTCAAGTCACAAACAATGAACCGGAGTCAAGTCGAGTCACCTAGGCGACGTAAGTCGAACTCAAGTTCAAGTCGTAGGACTCGAGTCAACAACTCTGGTATTTAGTATGAAAGTCCTTCCTTCACCCATTGCCCATCTCATGGCAGAAGATAAATGACTGCTAGGGGATTCCCACATCTTTGAAAGATTTTAATGGAATCCAGCCTTCATTGCAACTATTTCTTGTCTGTTAATGACAACTGCGGGTTGTTGAAATGCAGCATTAAACACCATGTTGTCACGTGCATTTGAAATGATAACTGACTTTTATGGCCCAATGAACATGCCCTTCATACAACTGATTTCCGTGAGACCAGAGCTGATTGAAATGTTTCAAACATTTGACATTTTGATGACCTTTTTTGACCCTCCCAACTAGTTTATTATTTGATTTAGGGGTGAGATTTTCAAAGATGCCTGAGAAAATTAGGAACTCAACCCCAGTTGAAAGAAAATGGTATTTAGGCACACAAGTTTAAAATTTCAAAAGCACCTATGTGACTTGAGACACTAAGTCCCACAGACTGCTTAGGCTCCTAAGTCACTTTAGCACCCTCGATTTTTATGTTCAACTCTACTTTGCACCTTTGGCAATCTTGCCTCCACTAAAAGCCCTTTGCCATACACAGCCACAGATGTGATGTTTTTAGCACCCATTCTGAAAGTAGCATATGATGATTCTGAAAGCTGAAACTACAATGTGTTGAATCTTGTGAGTCCCACTTTTGGTAACACCAGTCTGGGAAAGGTGGATAGCACCAGAATCAAGCACTTCAGTGCTTCACAAACCAGGTGTTGAGCTCTGTGAATGACCACATTAGACATGAAATGGAAAGCTTGTTTTACTAAAATAGAATCAGTAGTATGGGCTGTAGCTAAGGATTAGATTGGGAGGGTGAGACCCAGGGGTAAATTTCTTCCCATCAGTGTATCTCAGTTTCCCCATCAGTAATATACGCTACCGTGTTCTGGAAAATTGAACTTGGTTTTTTTGCCAGTTCCCATTGACTTCAGCATGCACTGGCTTAGACCTTTAACAACTCAAACATGACATTGCTGCCCTTTGCAGCCATTGAAACAGCGGACCTCTTTAACAAGCTCGACACGTTGCTTCCTAAATCTCTTCAGAGTTTCATGTGGCCTTAGATGCTCTCAGTGTAAAAGAAAAGTGAAGATTACTTTTGTTACTCTGGGTCATGTTCCTGGTATCCAAGTTAATTGTTATCACACGGGATTCTTGCAAATCAAGAGTAATCAGCATGTTCACTAGAATACACCAACCTAGCGCAGATAGGAAACAGTGGTATAAAATTCCTCTAAAATTCAAAGTCCATCTTGAATCGACCGAACTTTATTTTTACCCATTTTCACAGTGCCTTCATTAAAACCACAAGAAAACCAAGATCTTGCAGACACCGAGCTAGGATGAGTGGCAAACAATTTGGAGGACAGGTCAA